TTCGGATAACGAATCATGTACGAAAAAAAATATTAATTTATCCCATGTTGAAATTTCTCTCCGTTGCGTGTCGCTTCGCGTTGAATTTTCGTCGATGTTAAGCCTAACGAAGACTTATATCGTTAAAAAAATTTTTTATTTTGTACGAACAAAATAAATTTATTGAAAAATATAAAAACAATAAAAAATTATACTTCAGATGTTAATTTAGTATCAAAAACGTAAAATATTTGAGTAGCCCGAGAAATAGCCGAAGATTGTAGCGCTACAGCACTAGCGAAAATTTAAATTTGCAGACTGGAATGCTTTCGGATAAACGACGCTCTACTGTATAGATATAGATGTATGGATACATTTCTAATAATCACGAATTAATGTCATTACAATATTCAGTATTCAGAAACATAAAAGAACTGAATTTATGGGATTAAAGAGATACAAATTCATAAAAGAAGTTGTAATCTCTTGTATGAAATGTTATCACTCGTGTTACCCGCAGATTCAGTAGCTGTTGCACTTAATGAACTCTACTGTAGATGTTTGTTTCTGATAAACAGTTAAAATTCCTCGAAAATCCTAAAAATGAGTGCTGTTTTTGTTTCAGTAAGAACAAGATTCTAATTTGTAACATCGTCACTGTTTATGTGAAATTTTGAATTATGTTTGGAGCAATGTGTTGTTCTATACACAGCTATTTTGACACTATTCGTATGTTCAATTGTAAGATTAGAAAATTTCGAAACAGCATTAAAACCAGAAGTTAAGATGAATATTAAAAACTAGCAGATTAGCCCGAAATTGCTTGTGCAAAAAATGACGCAAAAATTAAAATTATTAGATTATTTCGTACTTCTAACCCTATGATATAGCATTTGATTTATGATTAGAAAGTTGTCCTACGTAAGAATTTATCACACCAAGTGGCCATCTAACATTTTTAAAATTCTTAAAATTGTGTAGAGTAAAGAAATAACTTTAATGTAGATATATTTATTACATTAAAGAATCTGTCTAATGTCAATTCAATTGCTTTTCTCTCTTCTTTAGGATTTTTTAGAAGTAATTAATATAATTGTCATTGTAGAGATCCCTAAGCCTATTAACCTCAATCTGGTTTGGATGCCATTCTAAGATTGATGTTCTGATATCCTCCCAATTTTTCAAAAGATCTTTAATAGCAGATATCGGCATTAATCCTCTTTTTCAGAAGAAAATGTCTTGCCGAGTTTCTTGAGTTACTCATTCAAGAGTTCTTGGCATTCTTCTGTCGTCAGATCTGTTTCAGATGTTGTCAGGCATTCTATTATGAGCTCTTCAATGTTCTTTATTTCTCACATGTGATTTTTGTGACTCCTTTAGCTGCTTGAGTCTGTATCTTTCTTAGATAATATTGAACTGTGGCTACTGTAGACCTGTTCAAGCCATACTGCCCAGCAACATCAGACCTCTTCTGCCCACTCTCACCTTTTGAAAATAACAAGTACCCACCCAACCAGTGGCGTACCGTGGGTGTCAGCCGCCCAGGCGCGGAGGAAAAATTCGGGCCCCTCTTATTTAGGTATTTCAATTTATAAGACCAAAATTCAGTTTTGTCACAGAACAAGCAATGAAAAATTCGGTGGTAGTGCTGCGACCTGTTTAAAATACAGTCGACCCCCTTATAACAAGAGTTCCTATAGTTCGGATTCCTATATGACGGCGAAAAAATTGCGACGGTATCCGTACAAACATGGTAAAAAAACTCCTATAATTCGGTAAAACGTCATCGGGCAGCCGAACTACTTTCCGCCGTCCAGCGCCACGCTACGGAGAGTTTAGGCGGGTAAATTGAGTTTACTATCGTCTGTACAGTGTTATATATTAATTAGGTACTGTACATATAATTATATATTAATTAGATACTGTATACTGTATATAATTATATATCAACTTAATTTATTGTAACTTTATTATAATTATATATATACTTTCCGCCGCCGTTCAGTGCCATGCTACGGAGAGTTTAGGCGAGTAAGTTGAGTTTACTATCGTCTGTACAGTATGTAAATTAGGTACCGTAAGTCTAATACAGTACTGTAATTCTATACATTTCTTGTGAAAGAAACATTTCTTATTCAACGGCCATGAAAATGATTTATATTAATGATGTCTCCAAAGTTGAACGAAGTTTTCGCAGAAAAATAACTTATCAGAAATCGCTCCCGCCGTTTGGTGCGCTGCTCCGCGACGAAAATAAGCTTAAGCAATGGCGGCGTCGAACGGTGCACACTCGGTAAGTAATCCTACAATTTTTTGTTTATAGCATAGTTTATACGGATTATTCTCAAAAAAATATACGTGTTTTGGAAATTTTGAGTCGAATTAGTCTAGGAATCGATTAATTTTATGGAAGAAAACCTTTTAAACAGCCGTAGTCCGTAAACTTCACACGTGTCGGGCTGTGATTGGCAAGGTCTCCTAAAACATCAATTTCATGAAAAACGGAACGTATCTACCGTCTTATAGAGGGGTCGACTGTAGTTCTATTGGATATTAATGGTGTATATGAACGCGAATGAATCGTACAAGCAAAAAAAAACATCAAAAATAAAAAAATAAAGGAGAACAGGTTTCGCAGGAACTCCTCGGATGAAAAAGTTACTAGTTCACCCGGCGAGCCGATTCCCGGACTGTCCGGACGATAGCACTATCGTAGGCTCGATGCAAGTATAGATTAGAATGTTTCAAATTTTTACAAGATATTATTATTTATTGTGAAATTTTGCCGCCCCTAAAAGCTAAATTTGCCGCCCCCTAAAAAGTGCCGCTTGGGGCGGGCCGCCCCTGCCGCCCCCACTACGGTACGCCACTGCACCCAACAGTCTCGCGAGTACTATAAAAGATGTGTTTCTGTCAGAAAAATAAAAGGCTGGAATAATAAGAAAGAATTTCAAAGTTTAGAGGAATACTATCCAATCAGTATATACCGAGTTGAGCATCAATGTCAATGTCTCCCACGATCTGAAAAGTCCCAAATTGTTGCCTGAAGACAAGGGAAGACCAATCGGTATTCATTATTTTATGTCGTTTCTTCTTGTTTGTTCTGTGAGTGTTCATTGTCCGAACATAAAAATCTTTTGAGAAAGTGTTCGTTAACTGATCATCCACTGTATTTATAGTATATTTTATATCTATAGAGGAGAAGGTGGTATTATGGAACCCCAATTACATTTTAGTGAATTGTAAACAAGGTATCATAACTACACCCACATTT